AACATGAGGTCTTGTTTGTTTGTTTTTTAACACCGCACTCAGCAATATTCCAGCTATATGACGGCGGTCTGTAAATAATCGAGTCTGGACCAGACAATCCAGTGAATAATATCACGAGCATCGATCCACGCAATTGGGATTGATGACATGCATCAACCAAGTCAGCAAGCCTGACCACCCGATCCTGTTAATCGCCTCTTACGACAAGCATAATCGCCTTTTATGGCAAGCATGGGTTGCTAGAGACCTATTCTACCGCGGATCTTCAAGAGGCGCAACATGAAGTGAACACCCTTAAACACGTTAAGGAAACATTGCAAGGTTTATTACCACACCACACGTCACTATTATGTTACAAAACTTTCGTGATGCAAAATATATGACATCACAATTTCCTACAGAAAGGGCAGAACTCTACCAAGATCCCGAACACATGAAATACAATCTCTAGGCGCTTTCTATCTTGTTTTTTGCTCAAACATTATAGTCACACATACTTTGGTGTTATAGTTTCAACAACAGCATTTTGTAACCTATAGTTGTACAGTTCATGATTTCTAAATGCCTGCCGCAATGATTGAGAATATCAAACATTTGTTTTTAAACATCCGCGGTGATGTAGCCCTCAAACTAGCTGTTTCAATCAGATTATTGATCAATCAAATGCGATAATTTTCCACTTACTTGGCACAATTTTCTTTTCAACAACAAATTGTCCTATCTTCAACGAGGTGTATGTATATATTTCAAGTCACCAAAACAACACACGGGTTCATTTATGATTATGATAGTATACATTTATTTCAAGTGAGTGAGTGAGTGAGTGAGTTGGGTTTAACGCCGCTTTTAACAGTATTCCAGTTATATCACGGCGTGTCAGCTTAATGTGGGAGGAAAGCCCAAAGTGATGCAGGTCTCAGACGTTTACCACTTCGGTGAAACCCACGAGCACGGGTATGGTGCTGACAAACCTAGAAACATAATCGGGGCGAACCGGGATTCGAACCCACAATGATAGGTTTCTGGCGTGCCCAAGGGACGCAACTCTGCACAGCGAATCGCGGCGCCTTAGACAACTGGTCCAACCGTGCCCCCTCATTTATTTCAAGAAAGTACATGGGAAAACAGCATTGCCAAATTTGATTAAAGGAAATAGACAGCATCACTGATTGCTACTGTTATAGGGTTAAAATGCGTCTCAAAAACATTAGAAAATGGTAACAAATAAACCGGTTATAGCTGCACTGATGAGTTGCATTAGAGATACAAAGTGACAGAGATCTTTTAGATCAAAAGGAATAAATAGATAAAAGACATTTCACATTTATCAAAAGAGTATTCCTGACATTTCATATTTATCATTGGCTTGGTTCTAGGTTATCGTCCATCAATTAATGAAACAAGCAGAGAGACAATATATATTTCATTTGTAGCAGCCGGAGTGAGTCACAAAATCAATAGAGTGATGAGCAATCTGGCACATAGTCTTCTGTATTTTTCCGATTACCACACACATGAGTTCATGGTCAGATCTAACTTTTAACGAATTAAAATGAGGTATTGTGACATGTGACAAAGACAGGCCAGGCCCGAACACTATAAAATGATACCCGATTGTTCTAGGTTTTCCCCATTTAGTGACGAGTCTGGCCGGTTTGATCCTGTCCTGTATTGATAGACGGACTGAGAGTAGGTAAAACTATGTGAGTATAAAGCTGGTGTTGCGTTTCTTTATTATGCGAGTATGAATACTGATAGAGACAACCTGGAGTAAGCGTCGTTAGACCAATCACTCCTTGACGGAGCTGAGCCGATGCGGACAAGGCGAGTGGCAAAGTCAGGGCGTAATTGACCATGATGACCAGGAACGGCAATACTTTTAGTAACTGTAGTAGGGTCGCACTTGACGCCCGAAAGCAGTTACGACATGGTGGCGATGCGGTTACCAAGAGTGCCGTCGTGGACATATTTATTCATTCTTCTGTAAATTGCTCATATTTGAAGTGAATACGCTTGTTGAAATGAATAAAACAACACACAATGACCATAGTCTTATAGTTATATAAAGACATAAACTTAACTATACCCACGTGTCACATGGTTTTTCAAAAGCGTTTGTTCCATTCGATGTGTAGAGTTAAGTCCCTTAGACGTACCAGAAGCCTATCATCCGAGTTCCCGGTTCGCCCTGGATATGTGTCTAGATTTGCCGGAATCGTACCCGTGCTCGTGCGTTTCGGCACCGTGCTCAGCCTTCAAGGCCCCTTGACATATAGTTGAACTTTTGTATGGAGTAGTTGGAAACCAAACTCACTCACTCACTCGCTCACTTGTTCGATGTATTTATGCATGCATGAAAGAAGTCTAATGCTAGACGTATACACAAAGAAAGTCATATTTCGTACAGTACGGTATAGTCGTATAACCTTATTTGCAATATGTTCAGAATCGGTAGAATGTATATACTTGTAAATCAGAGAGAGTGGGGAGGCTGAAAACTGAACGTCCTGTTGTGAAGACCTCTTTGAGGCAGACCTGTGTTGTTGTTGTTGTTGTTGTTGTTGTTGTTCGTGTTGCTAGTAGATGCAGAATGCGTTTGGTATGTGCAGATACGTATTTGTAGGTGCAAATAGATTATCTAACTGACACCGACCTGCGCGTTATTTTACAGCTGACAAAAACATCTCATGATCAGGCGACGAATGCTGTTATTTACTTTGCGGATCTTTTCCCCTGAAAACTTGAAGTCGATGGTCAAAAAGAGAAAGAAAAAAAGCACTTTCAAAATTATTTTTAGTCTTTCGTTTAAACATTGTTAAACAGATATTTTCATAATTTAATGTTGTGATGCCCCAAATCTTGAACCATTATTAGAATGTGTTCTCTTTTATTAGTTTAATACACTGTGTCGGGACCTGCATGACTACAATATACGATTAGCGTTATTGCTGAATGAGACTTCTACGATCCGTGATCCAATTAATAAAGATCACTCCGAATTGTCAACCTATTGTTCTCATGACGACATTTTGTCAATATGTGACGTGACGACATTTCTATCATTGTGCAATGGACGTTATATGATTTTAACCGACCATGTAACTACCAGTATATTCAAGGCGCTGTTGTTATTTCACGTTGTGTTTAATGTAAACGTATTTAGAAAGTCAACACGTGAAACGGGCCAGTATAACCCGACTGAGCACCAACTCTCAATAATCTAAATATGTTTAGATTTAAAAAAAAGAGATGAATTCGGTGTTTAGTTCAATTTGTATGCGGGAATACAATTTTAAACGTTTTAGTTTATGTCAATACATGTTTTACGAGAATCGTTATGATGATCATAATGTATGATAATTAAATATAAGTGAGCTTTGTTATGCATACTTTGATCAAAATGTTTGCAGTTCACATATCCACAATTTAGATGTTTCTATTGTTGTGATGGGAGACTGATGAAGTTAGTAACATTACATTTACGTCACGCTCATACATATTTCATCTGGGATAAAAGTTATCTTTCCATCACAAGGGATAAGTATTTCAAAGTTTCAGCCATACAGGAATTTTTTAATGAAGAAGGTATTCATTTAATTCTTGTTTTTCTAAAGGCAATAGAATTGATTAATAAATTTCGATTGCTTTGTAAATAAATAAATTCACTTTTACAATTGGTAGAATATATCAGTAACTGAGATTGTTAGTGGATATATCCTCGAAGGGGGTTAAAGTAGTGTAAAATTATTGTCCCCCTGAGGGTGTATATAAGACCACGTCTTCGAAAGTATATTTATTTCTGTCACGTTTTTAATCGTAGCACATGTGTTGTTTTAATGTTTGGCTAAATTTGCCAGCAACATGGACGGTGGCGATTGCTGGCAAATTTAGCCAAACATTAAAACAACACATGTGCTACGATTAAAAATGTGACAGAAATAAATATACTTTCGAAGACGTGGTCTTACATACACCCTCAGGGGGACAATAATTTTGAAGGGATGATGTAAACCCGGCTGGGGCCATGCCACAGACGCGGTGAAGCATGGAAGGTGAAATTGATAGCGGCTCTCCAAGAGTTACCTCCCTTCCAGGTACTGGCGCAATAGCCACATTGTCATCCGCGTTTATTGTGGACCAATCTCAGCAATCAGCTCCGAGATGAACAGTGGTAGTATCGTAGTTTTTAAAACAGAACAACTTTCTGAAAACATCGTTAAAATCATTTTGAATGTGCTGTGAAGGATGTCTAACCGTTCCCTCCCTCGCTCCCTTGCTCGTTCCCTAACCCCCTTGCCCGTTCCCTCCCTCCCTTGCCGGCTCCCCCCCCCCTCCCTTGCCCGTTCCCTCCCTCGCTCCCTTGCCGGCTTCACCCCCCCCCTCCCTTGCCCGTTCCCTCCCTCCCTTGCCGGCTCCCCCACCCTCCCTTGCCCGTTCCCTCCCTCGCTCCCTTGCCGGCTCCCCCACCCCTCCCTTGCCCGTTCCCTCCCTCGCTCCCTTGCCGGCTCTCCCCCCCCCTCCCTTGCCCGTTCCCTCCCTCGCTCCCTTGCCGGCTTCACCCCTCCCTCCCTTGCCCGTTCCCTCCCTCCCTTGCCGGATCTACCCCCCCCCCCCTCCCTTGCCCGTTCCCTCCCTCCCTTGCCCGCTTCACCCCTCCCTCCCTTGCCCGTTCCCTCCCTCCCTTGCCCGCTTCACCCCCTCTCCCTTGCCCGTTCCCTCCCTCGCTCCCTTGCCCGTTCCCTCCCTCGCTCCATTGCCCGTTCCTTCCTTCCCTCCCTTGCCCGTTCCTTCCCTCGCTCCCTTGCCCGTTCCCTCTTTCGCTCCCTTGCCCGTTCCCTCCCGCGATCCCTAGCTTCCTTGCCCGTTCCGTCCCTAGCTTCCTTGCCCGCTCCCTCCCTCGCTCCCTTGCCCGTTCTTTCCCTCCCTCCCTTGCCCGTTCCCTCCCTCGCTCCCTTGCCCGTTCCCTCCCTCGCTCCCTTGCCCGTTCCCTCCCGCGATCCCTAGCTTCCTTGCCCGCTCCGTCCCTCGCTCCCTTGCCCGTTCCGTCCCTCGCTCCCTTGCCCGTTCCGTCCCTCGCTCCCTTGCCCGCTCCCTCCCTCGCTCCCTTGCCCGTTCCTTCCCACCCTCCCTTGCCCGTTCCCTCCCGCGATCCCTAGCTTCCTTGCCCGTTCCGTCCCTAGCTTCCTTGCCCGCTCCCTCCCTCGCTCCCTTGCCCGTTCTTTCCCTCCCTCCCTTGCCCGTTCCGTCCCTCGCTCCCTTGCCCGTTCCCTCCCTCGCTCCCTTGCCCGTTCCTTCCCGCGATCCCTAGCTTCCTTGCCCGCTCCGTCCCTCGCTCCCTTGCCCGTTCCGTCCCTCGCTCCCTTGCCCGCTCCCTCCCTCGCTCCCTTGCCCTTTCCCTCCCTCCCTTGCCCGTTTCCTCCCTCGCTCCCTTGCCCGTTCCCTCCCTCCCTCCCTTCCCCGTTCCCTTTTTCGCTCCCTTGCCCGTTCCCTCCCGCGATCCCTAGCTCCCTTGCCCGCTCCGTCCCTCGCTCCCTTGCCCGTTCTCTCCCTCCCTTGCCCGTTTCCTCTCTCGCCCGTTCCCTCCCTCCCTCCCTTGCCCGTTCCCTCCCTCGCTCCCTTGCTCGTTCCCTCCTCGCTCCCTTGCCCGTTCCCTCCCTCGCTCGCTCGCCCGTACCCTCCCTTGCTTCCTTGCCCGTCCCCCCCCCCCCCCCCCCCCTTGCCCGTTCCCTCCCTCGCTCCCTTGCCGGCTTCACCCCCCCCTCCCTTGCCCGTTCCCTCCCTCCCTTGCCGGCTCCCCCAGCCTCCCTTGCCCGTTCCCTCCCTCGCTCCCTTGACGGCTCCCCCACCCCTCCCTTGCCCTTTCCCTCCCTCGCTCCCTTGCCGGCTCTCCCCCCCCTCCCTTGCCCGTTCCCTCCCTCGCGACCTTGCCGGCTTCACCCCTCCCTCCCTTGCCCGTTCCCTCCCTCCCTTGCCGGATCTACCCCCCCACCCCTCCCTTGCCCGTTCCCTCCCTCCCTTGCCCGCTTCACCCCTCCCTCCCTTGCCCGTTCCCTCCCTCGCTCCCTTGCCCGTTCCCTCCCTCGCTCCATTGCCCGTTCCTTCCTTCCCTCCCTTGCCCGTTCCCTCCCTCGCTCCCTTGCCCGTTCCCTCTTTCGCTCCCTTGCCCGTTCCCTCCCGCGATCCCTAGCTTCCTTGCCCGTTCCGTCCCTCGCTCCCTTGCCCGTTCCGTCCCTCGCTCCCTTGCCCGTTCCCTCCCTCGCTCCCTTGCCCGTTCCTTCCCACCCTCCCTTGCCCGTTCCCTCCCGCGATCCCTAGCTTCCTTGCCCGTTCCGTCCCTAGCTTCTTTGCCCGCTCCCTCCCTCGCTCCCTTGCCCGTTCTTTCCCTCCCTCCCTTGCCCGTTCCCTCCCTCGCTCCCTTGCCCGTTCCCTCCCGCGATCCCTAGCTTCCTTGCCCGCTCCGTCCCTCGCTCCCTTGCCCGTTCCGTCTCTCGCTCCCTTGCCCGCTCCCTCCCTCGCTCCCTTGCCCGTTCCCTCCCTCCCTTGCCCGTTTCCTCCCTCGCTCCCTTGCCCGTTCCCTCCCTCCCTCCCTTCCCCGTTCCCTTTTTCGCTCCCTTGCCCGTTCCCTCCCGCGATCCCTAGCTTCCTTGCCCGCTCCGTCCCTCGCTCCCTTGCCTGTTCCGTCCCCCGCTCCCTTGCCCGCTCCGTCCCTCGCTCCCTTGCCCGTTCTCTCCCTCCCTTGCCCGTTTCCTCTCTCGCCCGTTCCCTCCCTCCCTCCCTTGCCCGTTCCCTCCCTCGCTCCCTTGCTCGTTCCCTCCTCGCTCCCTTACCCGTTCCCTCCCTCGCTCGCTCGCCCGTACCCTCCCTTGCTTCCTTGCCCGTCCCCCCCCCCTTGCCCGTTCCCTCCCCCGCTCCCTTGCCCGCTCCCCCCCTCCTCTCTCCCCCCCCCCCCCCCCCTCGCTCCCTCTCTACAAAGCAAACACGTTACAATTAAAGCATGTTTCGGTGACTGAATTGGCTTTAAATCTCCTTTATTACTTCATCAACTTGTCTGAACGTCAATAACTGGACAGGGAGAACAGGGGTTCCTTCTTGGCCAGTTCCTATTGTTAAGGTATGAGTCGTGTCTCCCTTAAACAATATTCCAGATTTATTTATTAAAGGTTCATTTATCACCGTCAAAATTTAATCTGGATCGGTAACGTTTTTTTATATATAAAAACTCCTGTAACCTTTGCTGGTAGTGAGAGGTGACGATGGATCGGTTGGTCAGGCACGGTGACTTGAACTGTAAGTAATCCAGTCTTGACCAGACAATCCAGTGGTTTACATCATGAGCATCAATCCACGCAGTTGGGATACGATGACATGTATCAACAGTCAATATTAATGCCAAATTCCTTTCCTCCAAATTGGTATCAGCAGAACATTATACACGGAACAAGAAAAAAACAATGGGCTTTTATACGATGAAAGACAACATTTATTATTTTCCAAAATATGGTGCAATGCAATTGATACAATAGAAACTTCTCACTGTACATAAAGTTAATACATAATAAGTAACACAGAGCATCACTGTGGCCCATCAACAAGGTGAGAGATTACATCATCATATCATCAAGGGCTTTATATTCTCCCTGGGACGATGGCACCACCGGCATGTAGTGAAGCAACACGACTTTACCAGCTGAAGGACAAACAATATCAGATACAAGACACCAGTGGATACTAGCCGATGGTTTGGACGCGGGTGGACAAGTCGTTTAAGGCGCTGCAATCTATTGTGTAGAGTTGCTTCCCCTCTACGTGCCAGAACCCCATGATGGTGGGTTCCAATCTCAGTTACACCCTGATTATGTTTCCCGATTTGTCAGCATCATGCTCATACAGTGTGGTCTGTATCTTCATCCAACATTACTCTACCACGTCGCTCGACATGACTCAAATACTGTTCAAGGCGGCGGAAAAAAACAAACATACCCAATAGTAGAAACTTGCCACCAACATATATACAAAATGTACTAGTAGCAAGGATATACTGGCAACAATTAGAAATGACTAACCTATGATAGAAACATGGAACCAAAGTATTCCAGCGAATAAATAAGAGGCTAGTGTAAGCTAGTCATCAGTATATAGAAGCCACCATTTTATGCTAAACACATGAAGAAATATGTCATCAACGGACACAGGATTCCTGTTTTTATTAGTCATCAGTAGTTACCACTTACAAACATGGAACCCCATTATTCCAGCGAATAATTGATAGGCTAGTGTAAGTTAGTCATCAGTATAAAAGCCACAATTTTATGCTAAACACATGAAGAGATATGTCATCAACGGACAAAGGATTCCTGTGTATATCAGTCATCGGTAGTTACCAGTTATACACCAGTGGCTACACAATGCGAATTGATCATGTTAAATATACACCAGTAGTTAGTAACCCAAATACGTACTAGATCTAGACATCAGTATTATACATCACTAGTAATTACCAGTTATACACCAGTAGTTAGTAACCACAAATACGTACTAGATCTAGACATCAGTATTATACATCACTAGTAGTTACCAGTTATACACCAGTAGTTAGTAACCCAAATACGTACCAGATCTAGACATCAGTATAATACATCACTAGCAGTTATCAGACACCAGTAGTTAGCAACTACAAATACGTACTAGATCTAGACATCAGTATTATACAATGTACATCACTAGTAGTTACCAGTTATACACCAGTAGTTAGTAACCACAAATACGTACTAGATCTAGACATTAGTATTATACATCACTAGTAATTACCAGTTATACACCAGTAGTTAGCAACCACAACTACATACTAGATCTAGCCATCAGTATTATACATCATAAGTAGTTACCAGACACCGGTAGTTAGCAACCACAAATACGTACTAGATCTAGACATCAGTATTATACATGACCAGTAGTTACCAGTTATACACCAGTAGTTAGCAGCCACAAATACGTACTAGATCTAGACATCATATACATCACTAATAGCAGTTATACACCAGTAGTTAGCAGCCACAAATACGTACTAGATCTAGACATCATATACATCACTAATAGTTAGCAGTTATACACCAGTAGTTAGTAACCACAAATACGTACTAGATCTAGACATCATATACATCACTAATAGTTAGCAGTTATACACCAGTAGTTAGCAGCCACAAATACGTACTAGATCTAGACATCATATACATCACTAATAGTTAGCAGTTATACACCAATAGTTAGCAACCACAAATACGTACTAGATCTAGACATCAGTATTATACATCACTAGCAGTTACCAGTCATACACCAGTAGTTAGCAACCACGAATACGTACTAGATCTAGACATCATATACATCACTAAAGGTTAGCAGTTATACACCAGTAGTTAGCAACCACAGATACGTTCTAGATCTAGACATCAGTATTATACATGACAAGTAGTTACCAGTTATACACCAGTAGTCAGTAACCACAAATACGTACTAGATCTAGACATCATATACATCACCAGTAGTTAGCAGTTATGCACCAGTAGTTAGCAACCACAAATGCGTACTAGATCTAGACATCAGTATTATACATCGCTAATAGTTAGCAGTTATACACCAGTAGTTAGCAACCACAGATACGTTCTAGATCTAGACATCAGTATTATACATGACAAGTAGTTACCAGTTATACACCAGTAGTTAGCAGCCACAAATACGTACTAGATCTAGACATCATATACATCACCAGTAGTTAGCAGTTATACACCAGTAGTTAGCAGCCACAAATACGTACTATATCTAGACATCATATACATCACTAATAGTTAGCAGTTATACACCAGTAGTTAGTAACCACAAATACGTACTAGATCTAGACATCATATACATCACCAGTAGTTAGCAATTATACACCAGTAGTTAGCAGCCACAAATACGTATTAGATGTAGACATCATATACATCACTAAAGGTTAGTATATGCCAGACACCACTAGGTACAGGTGACCGGTTTATGCCTGACACCACTAGGTACAGGTGGCCAGTATATGCCAGACACCACTAGGTACAGGTGGCAAGTATATGCCTGACACCACTAGGTACAGGTGACCAGTATATGCTAGACATCAGTAGATACAACTAGGTGCTTCAGACCAGTATATGCCTGACACCACCAGGTACAGGTGACCAGTATATGCCTGACACCACTAGGTACAGGTGACCAGAATATGCCTGACACCATTAGGTACAAGTGACCAGTATATGCCTGACACCACTAGGTACAGGTGACCAGTATATGCCTGATACCACTAGGTAAAGGTGACCAGTATATGCCTGACACCACTAGGTACAGGTGACCAGTATATGCCTGACACCACTAGGTACAGGTGACCAGTATATGCCTGTCACCACTAGGTACAGGTGACCAGTATATGCCTGACACCAGTAGGTACAGGTGGCCAGTATATGCCTGTCACCACTAGGTACAGGTCACCAGAATGCACTAGACAATGGTAGATTCTAGACACAACTAGATAACAGGAACACGTGCGGACTAGACATACGTACTTGACAAAGACGTAGGTACTTGGCACCTGTAGGTACTAGAGACCAGTAGGTCATATGAACCATCAAATACTGGATACTATTAAGCACAAGATAAGAATAGATAATAGAAACCAGCCAATACGAGACAACACTAGGGATGGGACACCAGACGGTACTAAACTCCACTAAGAATGAGACACCAGGCGGCACTAAACACCACTAAAGATGAGACATCAGACGGTACTAAACTCCACTAAGAATGAGACATCAGACGGTACTTAACTCCACTAAAAATGAGACACTAGACGGTTCTAAACTCCACTAAGAATGAGACACCAGACGGTACTAAACTCCACTAAGGATGAGACACCAGACGGTACTAAACTCCATTAAGGATGAGACACCAGATGGTACTAAACTCCACTAGGGATGAGACATCAGACGGTACTAAACTCCACTAAGAATGAGACATCAGACGGTACTAAACTCCACTAAAAATGAGACACTAGACGGTTCTAAACTCCACT